AAGTGAACTCTACAGTGAAGTGAACTCTATAGTGAAGTGAACTCTACAGTCAAGTGAACTCTATAGAAGTGAACTCTATAGTGAAGTGAACACTATAGTGAAGTGAACTCTACAGTGAAGTGAACTCTGCAGTAAAGTGAACTCTACAGTGAAGTGAACTCTATAGTGAAGTGATCTCTATAGTGAAGTGAACTCTATAGTGAAGTGATCTCTATAGTGAAGTGATCTCTACAGTGAAGTGAACTCTACAGTGAAGTGATCTCTACAGTGAAGTGAACTCTACAGTGAAGTGAACTCTACAGTGAAGTGAACTCTACAGTCAAGTGAACTCTACATCTACAGTGAAGTGAACTCTATAGTGAAGTGAACTCTACAGTGAAGTGAACTCTACAGTGAAGTGAACTCTATAGTGAAGTGAACTCTACAGTGAAGTGAACTGAACTCTATAGTGAAGTGAACTCTACAGTGAAGTGAACTCTATAGTGAAGTGAACTCTACAGTGAAGTGAACTCTACAGTGAAGTGAACTCTACAGTGAAGTGAACTCTACAGTGAAGTGAACTCTATAGTGAAGTGAACTTCTATAGTGAAGTGAACTCTACAGTGAAGTGAACTCTACAGTCAAGTGAACTCTATAGTGAAGTGAACTCTATAGTGAAGTGAACTCTATAGTGAAGTGAACTCTACAGTGAAGTGAACTCTACAGTGAAGTGAACTCTACAGTGAAGTGAACTCTATAGTGAACTCTACAGTGAAGTGAACTCTACAGTGAAGTGAACTCTATAGTGAAGTGAACTCTACAGTGAAGTGAACTCTACAGTGAAGTGAACTCTATAGTGAAGTGAACTCTACAGTCAAGTGAACTCTACAGTGAATTGAACTCTATAGTGAACTCTATAGTGAAGTGAACTCTACAGTGAAGTGAACTCTATAGTGAAGTGAACTCTACAGTGAAGTGAACTCTACAGTGAAGTGAACTCTATAGTGAAGTGAACTCTACAGTGAAGTGAACTCTACAGTGAAGTGAACTCTATAGTGAAGTGATCTCTACAGTGAAGTGAACTCTATAGTGAAGTAAACTCTACAGTGAAGAGAACTCTATAGTGAAGTGAACTCTACAGTGAAGTGAATTCAACAGTCAAGTGAACTCTACAGTGAAGTGAACTCTACAGTCAAGTGAACTCTACAGTGAAGTGAACTCTACAGTCAAGTGAACTCTACAGTGAAGTGAACTCTACAGTGAAGTGAACTCTACAGTGAAGTGAACTCTATAGTGAAGTGAACTCTACAGTGAAGTGAACTCTACAGTGAAGTGAACTCTATAGTGAAGTGAACTCTACAGTGAAGTGAACTCTACAGTGAAGTGAACTCTACAGTGAAGTGAACTCTATAGTGAAGTGAACTCTACAGTGAAGTGAACTCTACAGTGAAGTGAACTCTATAGTGAGGTGAACTCTATAGTGAAGTGAACTCTACAGTGAAGTGAACTCTACAGTGAAGTGATATCTACAGTGAAGTGAACTCTACAGTGAAGTGAACTCTACAGTGAAGTGATCTCTACAGTGAAGTGAACTCTACAGTGAAGTGAACTCTATAGTGAAGTGAACTCTATAGTGAAGTGAACTCTACAGTGAAGTGAACTCTATAGTGAAGTGAACTCTACAGTGAAGTGAACTCTACAGTGAAGTGAACTCTATAGTGAAGTGAACTCTACAGTGAAGTGAACTCTACAGTGAAGTGAACTCTATAGTGAAGTGAACTCTACAGTGAAGTGAACTCTATAGTGAAGTGAACTCTATAGTGAAGTGAACTCTATAGTGAAGTGAACTCTACAGTGAAGTGAACTCTACAGTGAAGTGAACTCTATAGTGAAGTGAACTCTATAGTGAAGTGAACTCTACAGTGAAGTGAACTCTACAGTGAAGTGAACTCTATAGTGAAGTGAACTCTATAGTGAAGTGAACTCTACAGTGAAGTGAACTCTATAGTGAAGTGAACTCTACAGTGAAGTGAACTCTACAGTGAAGTGAACTCTATAGTGAGGTGAACTCTATAGTGAAGTGAACTCTATAGTGAAGTGAACTCTACAGTGAAGTGAACTCTATAGTGAAGTGAACTCTACAGTGAAGTGAACTCTATAGTGAAGTGAACTCTACAGTGAAGTGAACTCTATAGTGAAGTGAACTCTATAGTGAAGTGAACTCTACAGTGAAGTGAACTCTACAGTGAAGTGAACTCTATAGTGAAGTGAACTCTATAGTGAAGTGAACTCTACAGTGAAGTGAACTCTATAGTGAAGTGAACTCTACAGTGAAGTGAACTCTACAGTGAAGTGAACTCTATAGTGAAGTGAACTCTATAGTGAAGTGAACTCTATAGTGAAGTGAACTCTACAGTGAAGTGATCTCTATAGTGCTCTACAGTGAAGTGAACTCTACAGTGAAGTGATCTCTATAGTGAAGTGAACTCTACAGTGAAGTGAACTCTACAGTGAAGTGAACTCTATAGTGAAGTGAAGTGAACTCTATAGTGAAGTGAACTCTACAGTGAAGTGAACTCTACAGTCAAGTGAACTCTATAGTGAAGTGAACTCTACAGTGAAGTGAACTCTATAGTGAAGTGAACTCTTATAGTGAAGTGATCTCTACAGTGAAGTGAACTCTACAGTGAAGTGAACTCTACAGTGAAGTGAACTCTATAGTGAAGTGAACTCTACAGTGAAGTGAACTCTATAGTGAAGTGAACTCTACAGTGAAGTGAACTCTATAGTGAAGTGAACTCTACAGTGAAGTGAACTCTATAGTGAAGTGAACTCTATAGTGAAGTGAACTCTACAGTGAAGTGAACTCTACAGTGAAGTGAACTCTATAGTGAAGTGAACTCTATAGTGAAGTAAACTCTACAGTGAAGTGAACTCTATAGTGAAGTGAACTCTATAGTGAAGTGAACTCTACAGTGAAGTGAACTCTACAGTGAAGTGAACCCTACAGTAAAGTGAACTCTACAGTGAAGTGAACTCTACAGTGAAGTGAACTCTATAGTGAAGTGAACTCTATAGTGAAGTGAACTCTACAATGAAGTGAACTCTACAGTCAAGTGAACTCTACAGTGAAGTGAACTCTACAGTCAAGTGAACTCTATAGTGAAGTGAACTCTATAGTGAAGTGAACTCTACAGTGAAGTGAACTCTACAGTGAAGTGAACCCTACAGTAAAGTGAACCCTACAGTAAAGTGAACTCTACAGTGAAGTGAACTCTACAGTGAAGTGAACTCTACAGTCAAGTGAACTCTACAGTGAAGTGAACTCTACAGTGAAGTGAACCCTACAGTAAAGTGAACCCTACAGTAAAGTGAACTCTATAGTGAAGTGAACTCTATAGTGAAGTGAACTCTACAGTGAAGTGAACTCTATAGTGAAGTGAACTCTACAGTGAGGTGAACTCTATAGTGAAGTGATCTCTATAGTGAAGTGAACTCTATAGTGAAGTGAACTCTACAGTGAAGTGAACTCTATAGTGAAGTGAACTCTATAGTGAAGTGAACTCTATAGTGAAGTGAACTCTATAGTGAAGTGAACTCTACAGTGAAGTGAACTCTAAAGTGAAGTGAACTCTATAGTGAAGTGAACTCTACAGTGAGGTGAACTCTATAGTGAAGTGATCTCTATAGTGAAGTGAACTCTATAGTGAAGTGAACTCTACAGTGAAGTGAACTCTACAGTGAAGTGAACTCTATAGTGAAGTGAACTCTATAGTGAAGTGAACTCTACAGTGAAGTGAACTCTACAGTGAAGTGAACTCTATAGTGAAGTGAACTCTATAGTGAAGTGAACTCTACAGTGAAGTGAACTCTATAGTGAAGTGAACTCTACAGTGAAGTGAACTCTACAGTGAAGTGAACTCTATAGTGAGGTGAACTCTATAGTGAAGTGAACTCTATAGTGAAGTGAACTCTACAGTGAAGTGAACTCTATAGTGAAGTGAACTCTACAGTGAAGTGAACTCTATAGTGAAGTGAACTCTATAGTGAAGTGAACTCTACAGTGAAGTGAACTCTACAGTGAAGTGAACTCTATAGTGAAGTGAACTCTATAGTGAAGTGAACTCTACAGTGAAGTGAACTCTATAGTGAAGTGAACTCTACAGTGAAGTGAACTCTACAGTGAAGTGAACTCTATAGTGAGGTGAACTCTATAGTGAAGTGAACTCTATAGTGAAGTGAACTCTACAGTGAAGTGAACTCTATAGTGAAGTGAACTCTACAGTGAAGTGAACTCTATAGTGAAGTGAACTCTACAGTGAAGTGAACTCTATAGTGAAGTGAACTCTATAGTGAAGTGAACTCTACAGTGAAGTGAACTCTATAGTGAGGTGAACTCTATAGTGAAGTGAACTCTACAGTGAAGTGAACTCTACAGTGAAGTGAACTCTACAGTGAAGTGAACTCTACAGTGAAGTGAACTCTACAGTGAAGTGATCTCTACAGTGAAGTGAACTCTACAGTGAAGTGAACTCTACAGTGAAGTGAACTCTACAGTGAAGTGAACTCTACAGTGAAG